ATATTTGCCTTTATTTTATGAATGTTATGACAGAGAACTGTCAAACTGCTATTACATATTCGGTGTCTTATAAAGACTTTACGTTATAAATAGTACGCAAATCTGCTTAACCGTATTCATTTAAATTAAAAAGGTTCTATTTAGAACACGGTCCGATTTAGACCACTCTCCCCTATATTATTCAAAAATTTACGAAAATTGTGAAGTAATATTCTCGTGATTTTCTCAGATTATATTTCCTAAAATTGAAATTCTTTTTAAAAATTAAAATTTATTTAAAATAATATAAAAACTTTTACTTTTTGAAATTTAACTTTGGCAAAGAATTCCATCATTTTCGATGCTAAATAATCCTCTAATTAGGCATATCGATTTCAATTTTGAGAAAAAAAGAGACTCATTAGGGAGAGAAAAAAACTAGTGTTTATTCTCTGCCCTGAAAAAAATTTGCCATTTAGTACATTTTTTAAATAATAATTACAGTAAATAAATATTTACATTGAATGAAAAAAATTATAGATCAATCAAATTAATAGTTCTTGTACCAAAAACAAATATATATTTACACTTAGTGAATATTTAATTAGTACTATTTAAATAAATATTTATTAAAATTTAGTACATTTTTTTCAGCGTACGTAAATCCGTATACTACGCGTGACATACGTTGAACATACATTTTTGTTTTGAATTAATGTAAGCATTCGCAATTATCAATCGGTCTCGCATACCAACATTGTCTCGTTTTCCATCAAGAATCACCAATCTCACTTTTATGCGAAATATCCCACTTCTCTTTCTTGAAGAGATCGATCTCTTGGAAAACGGTCGGCAATCTTATTGACTTTTGCTAAGCCTTGCTGCGGCAACGACGACGGCAACGGCGACGACGACGACGGCGACGACGCCATTAGTACTGGTTCTATCGAGTCCCCAGTAGGAATGCGATTAGGGCCGCTGTCAGTGATACAGAGGCTCCTCAAAAGCGGCTGCTAACTCAATTAAGAGCGGAGTAGAGCGCGCGGCTCCGCGCCATTAGGATGGGCAAGATCGGTCGCTAATTTCCAATTACCTTAATTAATTATAATTTCCCATTCGGGATGCAGGCCTTTGATCATGGACGTGCGCGACGCCGCTGCACCCCGTCGGACGCGGCTGCGTCGTTATCGCCCTACGGGAGGCGTTATTAACGTGTTGTTTCATGATTATAATTCGGAGCAGCTCGTATGGTTGCCTATCGTTCGTGTTTGTTACTTCGTCAACTTTTTATCCGTAGACTTTTATGTAAACGCGACACGCTTCTTCTTGCGATTTTAATTAAACTAATTTGCAGCAAATTGAGATAAAGGAGCGGATATCACCAAAAATTTCTGATTGAAACGGTAAAAGTTATGTGAATCGTTTGAGAGAATTCAAACTGATAAACTTCCGTTTCTTAATTTTGATTCAAAATAATTTGATATGCTTGGTTGAATAAAAGAAGAATCTTAATTTTAAAATTAAATATTAATACTTTCAACACATGTGTATATTTTTAATTATGTACATAGATCTTCATATTTTTTATTTATAATAAAGTAAAAGAATCACGTTTTTAAATTGATTTTGAAATAATCAAAACTTATAAATTTAATGAAAGATTGTAGAAGAGATTATAAGTACAAATAACATTGTATAAATCGCATGTGAAATATTTGCGAAAGAACAAAATTATATTCCAAGTTTTTGCAATCATTATATGACGCGTTTTGTAAAACAATATATTTTTCTCTATTTAAGTATTTTATAATTAAAAAAATTAATTAAAAAATTAAAGTATTTAAAAATTAATAAATAAACAATTTTTTTAACGAATTAAAATAAAAATATTTTATTTGATTACGCGACGTTTATAAAAAAAATGTTTACATATGATTTTCTATTTAAATAACTTGTTACTCTGCACACTTAAAGAGAAATGGAAGATATTTCCTTGAATGTTTATCACGATTATGGGATTGATGGAACTCGTCTCGCATGATCAATCGAACGTTTGATCAATTGTACGTTCGCGTCTTCTTCGAATCCGTCTAGTTATTTCGTCATAATTTTGACTTCGCAGAAATTTCCGTCCCGTAAAAAGCGGATATACAATTTTCCTATTTGATTAAACGTGAAAACTCCTGATTATTGGACGATTAAGTGACGTTTTCGCGCCTTTAATGTATCTTGATATTATTCACGTAAATGATAATTAAAATTTTAGACCGGTTTGTCGTGTTAATACAGATTACTTAATCAACAATTATCGTATAGCCTTGCGCAATGTCATCTATGAGGAAGTTAATATAGTACAATATTATGAGAAAGATTCGTGGCGTAGTTTTTTATGTAGCTCGCATGCCGTGCGATTTTTTTGCTGTTCTATACATAGTGCGGAATATTATAACAATTTACTTATTCAAACAGGTAAATTGAATTAATTTGTTATGTAACAAGCAAGTGATTCAGTATTAATACATCATCTCAAAGAGTTTAGAGTTACATTACAAAAAGAAACTTTATTCTACATATATTCAGAATATATTTATTACATATATCTAGCTCTTAAATGCTTTTTGGTGTAGAATATTCAACTTTTTTTCCAATGCTTTTTCCATTTATTCTAACTTTTTAATAAATAAAGGTGCATATATTTACTAGGTATCATTATATTCTTTAATGTGTGATGTTTTAATTGAAAAAAATGTTTTTACAATTTTTATGTTCATCTTTAAACTAATTATTAAAAATCGAATTAGATTGGATGTGGCATGTATTATTTTTTAATTTATGTCATATGTACATTAAAACTCTAATTTACACAATAATCTTTCCATAAAATTAGCATTCTCTTAATGCAGCCTCTTTTAAAACCCCGATTTATTATCGGAGATTTTAGCGTTAGCTGGTCGATTTTTGTAGGATGATTCGAACTATGTAAATTATAAAGTGTAAAAATATGAGTCACAAACTGTTATGATATTTTTAATATTTATATTTAAGAGATACGTTCCTTTTCTCTTCAAAGTAAAATCTTCAAAATAATGCAAATTGAATTTTGTTAATGGACGATATCAGCACATCAGCAGCTCGACCTAGACCCTCGTATACCTTTCGGTGAAAGCGTATTCCGATCGACGGGCTACAATTGGCGCGATTATTTCGCGAGAATGCATTACGTTTCATTCGAACGAACTTTTCGTCTTTGTTCGAGCGTAAAATGCAGCTTTAAGCCCTAAGTCTTTACGTGAGTGCATGCTCGAGTTCAAAGGGAGAAAATTGAGCGGAACTGTTGTCCGGGGCCGGACGTTTGCTCTCGACGTTAGCGACATGTCAAGACAAAAGAGATAGAAAGAAAGAGAGGAGAGATCTTTGCTCCAGATTTTGAAATTAATTTTTGTCCAACATTTGATGTTTTGCGAATTTGGCTTCTTGCAAAATAAAAATATTATCAATTACTCACCAATCACTACCAAGAACTTCATATTTTTTAAAAAAGAAGTGAATAAAATACATTTGACAGATATGTTGATTTCAATTTTGTTTAAGCATATTAAAAGCACATTAGATTGGATCACGATTTTAATTATAACTTATAACTAATTTTTCGCGTAATGGAACCATCCAGTGATGAATAGCCTACTTTGTGAAAATATAATTTTTAGTACGATCGATTGACGATTTGTGCTCAGGCAGGGACAAGAAGAAATTAATCAAGGTTGCTCAACGACAATATCCTTCTTAATGCGATTACATCTCCATGGGTACGGAACGGAAGTTCCGTTGGATTTAAGAAGGAAGATCAAGTATAGTCTCTCGCTATTCTCTTTTTGATCGCGTCTATATTACCATTTATTTATGCAATGCGAGCAATAGTGAATAACAGTGTATTTAACAAAATTTGTTGTCAGTATAAAAGATTGCATAATAAAAATATAGATCATAGATTGTTATCTATAAAGAAGTCAAATATTGATCGATAATTCGCTGCATGTTTAATATAATAAAATAAATAACATATACACTTAATTATTTAATATATATGACAAATATTGCTTCAAACTTTATTTTTTCATCTCTACATACATTTCTAAGTTTCTCGATCAATTTTCTTTTATAAATCTATAATACATAAACAGTATAGCTACATATATTATATTTTAAGAATTTCTCGAATTATATGTTAATATTTTTAAAAAAGATATTTTGTAATTGTAATAATGTATGAATGTGAAATAATGATTGTAATAATATATAAATTACGATCATGATGTCATTATTTGTTCAGGCAGTACATTGATTCGCGATATCGTTTAAACAATTAATCATTTCGTTTTTTTTTTTTGAAAAAAAAAACGTTGAATATTGTGTAAATTTATTTCGTTTTATATGAAGGAATCAGTGTACACATAGGCAAAAAGATAATACACGCCGCTCAGAGAGAAACCGGTGAAAAAATGTGACGCACTCATACCAGCGGGTTAGTTCCATAACTGCATTGTGCGTTATTTAGAGCACCGGTAGCGAGGTGCTTTTAGGCACGTAATTCGATAGTCAACTTTCGGAAATGCGGCAAGGTGACATTAACACGGTGACGCGACTGAGTCGATCGTCAGGCTGACAGGAATGGAGAACAGGAGCTTTTCCAAAAAATGATTCCCGAAAAGTTTTTGTAATTCCGATTGCTTAAAGTTTCATAGATAGCGCGACAGTAAAACAAGAATTAATCGACCAGCGGAGAATATATAACATGGTTCTTATTTTTGCTTTCTGGGAAAATATAAATAAAATTTAATTTTTATTTTCGTCAAAAACAACAATTGTATAAAAATGATCTTTATATAAAAAATAATAATACTGTTATTGTCAAAAAATGTATATTATAAATCTAATGCCTTTTAATTAAAAAAATATACGTATTATTGAACACAGCATTAACTTACAATTTTCATAAGCAGTAAACAATTTTCGATTACACTAACTTTCAAAATTTCGTGTCATAATCCTTCAATGGAGTTCGTAAATCTGAATTATTTGAACTGAAGAAAGCGCGCGTATCTTAAAGTAAACTTTGACGATTCTTTAACAGTTTCTTAGCGACTACATGCGCACCTTTTGTCCTCTAATTTGCTTTTAACTTCTCTTCCTTCTCGTACGGACACTTTTCCGGAAACGCCTCTTCTTCCTCTTATTCCTGCTTCCTAGATCGCACAATAATTGTTCTATTTCATCACACAATGGCTCCTTGTCTTAAGATTCAACTTTTTTTCGCAAAATTCTTCTCTCTAGATAGAGGTCCGATGGACGGAAGAGTAATCGGATCTCGTCTGATCGACTTACATCAAGAAGTTGAACTACTATGATGATCAGATAGAATCGTATTATTATGAGAGTCAACATTAATTGAAGATACTAATAATGATTAAAGATACATTTTGATAAATTATTGTAATGATATCGTTCTAATAAAAACGTGAAATGAACATATATGAAATCGGTAAAATTGGCTAGAAAAACGGAGTTTTAGGGCATTTCCTTATAACGTTGCAATTTATTTGATATCGGAAAAGGAATTGAAAAAAATATTTATCGCGCATGTGTTTTATAAAGTCAGTGCTCCAAATATTTTATACATTTATCTTCAACTTTGTGATTAATTGCTTCACTATTAAAACTAATGACGTTTAATGTAGACCGATTTCCCGAAGGAGCAAAATAAATAGATTAGTTTAATCATTTGAAATAATAAGTATCTATAAATGGCTCAGAGAATTAAAATTTAAAGCAAAATCAACAAAGGGCAATCAGCCAGACACATGAAGTTAATGCTTTTTTAAAAAACAAAGTATATATTAAATTACAATATTTTCTCTAAATGTTAATCATTTAAATATTGTAAAGATAATAGAAAACCTTAAAAAATACACTGTCATAAATTTGTTTTAAAAAGTTACAAATCAGTCATTTTAATTGCTTTGGTGTTAAACTAATTTTAGTGTTAAACTAATAATGAGTGCGTGTCTGCTTCTAAATAAGCTCGTTTACACTTCTCTTCGCAGGTGCATTTCTGGTTCCCTACTGCGTGATGTTAGTGGTCGGTGGTATTCCTCTATTTTACATGGAGCTCGCTCTCGGTCAATTCAACAGGAAGGGTGCTATCACCTGTTGGGGTCGGCTGGTACCACTTTTCAAAGGTAAATATAAATATTATGTTACAATCACAATGAAATTATTGTAATTTAAAATTTTTTCATAATTTTTTAAAATGATACGGTGATTTCCAATGTTTATAATGCAAATTGATATATGTATCTATAATTACTCGAATATGTACCTATAATTACTCGAATATTACAGTCAGCGTGTGCATTTATTCTGGCAAATGAGTAATAAATTTTCCTAATCGAGCATTAGTTTTCACATCTATGCGATTATTATTTTTCTCTAATTCTAAAATATTATAACGTTTTATTTATGATTTACAAACAAAAAAATTTTATGAAAAATGATATTAAAAAAATTTTAATTATACACACACAAGGAGAGTTATAACCGCTTGCATAAATCTAAAGTGGAGAAAAATAAAGGAATAATATCGCATTTCTCAGTTCTCGGAAGTAAAATCATCGATTTTTACAAACTGACGAAATGAAAAAATATTGCATTAATGATGCATTATAAAATCATGTTACATTACTTATTTAATCATATATGGACAATCTCTGGATGCTATAAAATTGAAACGTAATAATGTTCGGCGACATAATGACATAAGTGCAGCCAGTAATTTATCAATAAACACAATTTGACTTAATCTTTTTATTCCTGTTTAGCGTCAATTCTAGTCAATACTTATTCTATTGTCATGACTAAAATTCTCAGAGTGCAACTGTTTAACTTAACGATGGATAATAGAATTCGTTTTTTTTCGATTTCTTTATTTTTCGGTCATCATTCCCATCGTCAAACGTATACATGGATACACTTAAAAGTTTATAGCTTCTCGCGTGCGAAGGCCGAGGAAGTGCGTAACGGTGCTGATAATCATTGAATCTACTTACACATGTGTCGATTGTGCACCGCGGAATTCCTAAGATATACATCTTATAACAATTAAGATTATACATATAAATATATATACATTTATATATGTATTTGTATATACTTTAAAAAATATTGAATTTAACATCATATAATTATTACCGTGGTGTTAATGTTGGCATCAATAATAAGTTGAGAATTATATAGATATTGCATGGTGTTAAACCCATACCGATATATTTTTAAATGTACGTCTGTATATATATTTCCTGTATATACTCTTCCGTGCGAGTAGAAATTCATGTGTGAATCGTTCGGGCAAATCTTTTCAAAAGCTTAAGAGCTCAAATGGCCCTTTTTACTCTCATTATATTCTAGCTCGCTTTCTCTCCTCACCAGTCCTTGGATATTGGTATTCCAAGTCGGTCTCCTTTCTATCCATTGTGATCTTTCCCTTTTTCCAGCTACTCGAACCGCGAGGATGATCGTCCGATTTTGGCGCACGCGAAGCTAAAGATAAAACGGAATAATATATACAATGTATATACAATACATACATATATGTATATTATAAATATATACGGTACATGTAAATATTATTATATATTATATATCTAAAAAGTATATACAAATACATATATTACAATGACAAACATATCGCTTCCTTACTTAAAAAGTGACACAATTAAAAAAAAATGTAATTTTTTAGTTATTATCATGAATGAGTTAAATAAGCATTACTCTATCAAGAATAAAAATTTAATTAAATTTTATATAAAATTGATTATATAATATCGTAGTGCTTGTTTTTTTTTTTAAAAAAAACGTGGTTTTTAAAAAAGAATCTTCAAAATCATCACAACTCGAAATGATTAATTTTTTCGAAGGACTGTGAAATGACAATAACAAAAATAACATTTAATCATATTATTTAATATATTCTTTTTGTCGGTATTACTTCATTAATCAATCATTTTCTATCAAGTTGAACAATAGTTTTTTCCCTTTTCTAGGAAATTTAATTTTTTTTAAATAAGGGAACGATGTTTATGATCTCATACATACATATAACATACATACACACACATTTCATACATATATACATATATAATTATATGTATATGTGTATGAGATTATAAATATATATATGTGTATATAATATATTTTGTATATGTGTGTGTGTGTGTGTGTGTGTGTGTGTGTGTGTGTGTGTGTGTGTGTGTGTGTGTGTGTGTGTGTATATTCCTTGACTCACAGATCTCTCTCGTAGTACGTAGCCGCGGTTAGGTACTTTATGCGACTCGTATAAATGCGAGAATCGTAGGATGCGAGAAACGCGACCGGTACTTCTCCGCGTAAAGAGCCTCCATTTCCGCCGATTTCCAACTTCATTTCCACAGCCACAATTTCGCCCCGTCCGTCCGTCCGACCGCTGATCGCCGTATGATCGATCGAGATCCTCCATCGTCGTATTTCTGCGTCGTGCGATAAACGCATCTATATATGTATGTACATACGTATCGTAGTATGCGCAATCTTACATACCACAGTAGAGAAGGTCACGATGTCATTTGTATACGATGTATGTATGCGTAAGAAATAATATCTTCACAGAAAGGACGGTGTGTTTCTAATGTTTCTGCCACGCTGGTCTCGATTTCTTTCGCGTCTACGCGATTATCGTGCTAATTTGTTTAGTAATCTTATACTTCACAGATTACACAGATCACATCACACTGAGATCCACATACACGAATTGATAGTAAGGAGGCAACAAATAATAGTTTAAAAAGATTAAAGAATCTTCGCGGATAGTAAAATTTTTACATTAAAAATGTAAATCCTTTATTATAGGGTGTTTCCAAATTAAATCGCAAAACTTCGGGAGCGTGTAGAGGAGTAAAAAACTAAGAAAAAAAGTCCTATAGACATATGCTCGTTTTTGCTCCGTTTCAGAGAAATCGAAAAAAAATGTTTACATTTCTTGCCATATCTAGCACCGACATATTTGATTACATTTTCCACTTTCTGTTATGAATTTGTCAGTCGCTCTTTGAAAGCCTTTAACAGTAGATGAATTTTGTCTTTTGCAATATGCCGCGTACGTATTCTAATAGTGAATATGCTGATATGGTTTTTGTATACGGTTTCTGCAACGGTAATGCTTTAAAGGCGTGGCTGCTACAAGAGCCGTGTTTGACAGATGCAATGCTTGTATTGCTGCAAGAGGTGCACATTTCGAACAAAATCTTCATTAAAAAGTTTATAAATAAAATAATTAAAATAATAAATTAAATGAAGTTTTGCCATTTAATTTGGAAACACCCTATATTGAATTATGATATTCATATTGTAATTACCTTTTAAGTAGAAACAAGATTAGCAATAATCTCATGGATTAATAAGTTTATTATTTAAATTTAAATTGTTTTTAGTACAATCATTAAAAATCTTCTTCACATTAATTATTAGACCACACTGGAAACATAGAAATAGAAACTAATTTTTTTTTTTTTGAGAAAATAGCTTTTATTATCGTGCGACGGATTGTTCGGTCTGAAAACATGTATTATTCTTGATCAGGTATCGGATACGCGGTGGTCCTAATCGCGTTTTACGTTGATTTTTACTATAACGTCATCATCGCCTGGTCGCTTCGTTATTTCTTCGCCTCGTTCGCCACGATGCTACCATGGACCTCTTGTGACAATGACTGGAACACACCACTGTGTCGCGAGTTCGACGCGAATATCTCGTACGCACTCGCGGATATGAACAGCGAGATTAATGAGAATTTTGGAAATACCACTCGGCTGCTGGTCGATTTAGGATCGGATGCTGCTGTTCAAAGTACAATGGATAATTATACGAGTGCTGCGCATGAATACTTCAAGTAAGTGACGTTCGATGTTTCGTCTATGAAAACACAAATCGTCTTTGAAGTTTCATATTAATACTTAATATGTGGTAAATGATTAGCAAACGATTAAGGTTTGTAGAAAATTCGAATTCTTAGCAAAAGATTAATTTGTAACGCAAAGACTGTTCATGTATGCATAATTTAAAATAATCGATAATTATTATTCGATATGTTTGAATAATACTTAAAGAATTAAATTTTATCTTAAATATTGAACTATTTCGTTATCTTCTTAATTTAAATTTATTTTAATAAAACTATAATGTAATAAAAACTTATTATAATATACTATTAAAAGGATTTTTTTAAATATCAAGTTAAATATACATTTTTACATATTTTGGATTTTTGTCCTACGCGCGCGCGCGCGTTGCAATTATTATACGTTAATGTATTATTATTATTAAAATTAAAAATCTTTCTTTTTTCACGCAAGTCGTTTATTCAATATCTCCATGAATTACAAAACTTCTTTTCCTTAAGTCGCGCTATTCTGGAGCTACACCAAAGCGAGGGTTTACACGACCTTGGTGCCATTAAGTGGGACATCGCGCTATGCTTGCTCGTGGTCTATCTGGTCTGCTACTTTTCTCTGTGGAAGGGCATCTCGACTTCCGGCAAGGTAAGCTGAATGCCTCATCAGAGATTCGAGATCCTAAAAGTGAGTCTCCATGAGGCATATTTTCACGAAGATCTACAATAAAGCACCGTAAAACTCAGAGCTTTATCAAGTGTTATCTACGATATATATGTACAGTATTTCCGATCATGAGGACGCAATTACAGACCGAGCGATTCTTTTGTGTTACAGGTAGTCTGGTTTACCGCTCTTTTCCCTTATGCAGTTCTGTTAATTTTGCTAATAAGAGGTGTCACTTTGCCGGGCAGTACCGAGGGAATTCGTTATTATCTCAGTCCAAATTTCAACGTTATCACAAAGGCAGAGGTACGTAATGTTTTGATTTCGCATAATGTATACGCAATATTTGAAATATTTAGCATGATTTTTAAGAAGCGAATTTTTATCCAATTTATTATAGTCTGTTCTTTGTAGCTAAACTAGTATACACTAGTCTAGTTATATTTAAAATGAAATAGTACATATAATTAAAATTTGCTGAAATTGATTAAGAAAGTTTTAGTGCAATCCAGTGCAGTGACAAAAAATATATTTTATTTTTCTAATTTCTGTTTATATAATAAAAATACATTTTGTCAATTTAAAAAATTCAAAAAATTTATAATGAATAAACTTAAATAAAGTTAATAGTTAACTTAAATAAAGTTAATAGTAACAATTAATCAATAAAATTAATACGTAGTTGCTACTTAATAACGATTAAAAGTAATTTATAATTCCATTTTATTATACAACTAAATCTCGTGTGATTAAAGATAGAAAATAAAATATATAAAATATTAATTATTTAAGCGTATGTTATAAATAAAACATTACTCTTCTACGAAGCATTGAAAAATTTTTCGTTCACAATATGGAATTTATTTTTTAATAAAACTATATAAAAGAAAAAAATCGGTCGCGCTCGTGATTATTGTTTTATTGCCGTTGACCTGGATTACCATGAACCGCGACGTATTCCCGCGGCAGTGACAAAAGGAGAAAACTTTGGGAGCTAATGCATTTATAGGATCGTGAGTGAGTTCGAGAGCGGAAGTGAGCGAAGGAGAGGTAGGGTATGGTGGCCGAGGCGGCCGAGGTATGGGAAAAATGGAGTAAGAGGAACGTGCAGGGTTAACTGACGACGGTGAAAATGGAAACTCTGTGTAGCTGTCATAACGAACATTAGAGTCCGGTAGAGCACACGCTAGAACGTCAGAACGCACGCTGACCCTCGCGCGTGCTTCGCACGCGGAATGCACTCCACGGACGACGACGACGGCGACTTTAGCCGCTTACCTTCGTTGCTAAAGTGGGTTTTATTCCAGTGAGAAAGTGGATTTGTTGATCACCGCTAATCCGTGGATATACGAGAAGAGTTAGGCTGATACTTCCCCTTTTTCCTTTGCTCACTCTTCTTCGGGGAATTAGACGGCAATAATGCCGCGATCTTCATATGCTAATTATGCATATGAAAACAAATCGTACTATAATAAACATAAATTTATTTTATAGGTAAAAGATAGCACTTTAAAGTGGCGTAAATGAAATTGAAAAAAAAATTTATTTTAGCCACAAAAAATGGTAAATATGGCCAAAAACACCAATTTTGGCACATTTAACTTTAATTTTTTCGAAAACCTGAAACGTATTAGGCCAATTCCAAGGCCGGATTCGTTTTCAGCGAACAAAAATACATCGGAAAACGCTTCGTTTGTTCAGGTCCCAAAAAAGGTCCATTTTTGTATAATTGTGTAATTTATATTTCTTATTTTTACAAAATTTTAAACATACGTTATAACTGAAATAAACTGAAGAAATAAAAGACTAAAACAAATAATTTGTAATTTCTGTTTTTTACAACTTATCTATTATATTTTTTTATTAAGAACGTATCGGACTATGTTTTATCGCTTATATAAGGATATTCTTTTAACTTTTTTCTAGGTGTGGGTGGACGCGGCGACGCAAGTATTCTTCTCTCTAGGACCAGGATTCGGTGTGTTATTGGCCTACGCGAGCTACAACAAGTATCACAACAACGTTTACAAGTAAGAAGGCTGGATCTTTTTGCGCACACCCATACGATCCCGTTTGACACTCGTATTCTCCGCAGAGACGCCCTGCTGACGAGTTTGATCAACAGTGCAACATCTTTCGTCGCCGGATTTGTCATATTCTCGGTGCTCGGTTATATGGCACGTGCCAGCGGCAAGTCTATCCAGGATGTCGCCACGGAAGGACCCGGTCTGGTTTTCATCGTTTATCCGGCGGCCATCGCTACGATGCCCGGCTCGACATTCTGGGCGCTCATTTTCTTCATGATGCTGCTCACACTCGGTTTAGACAGTTCGGTGCGTTTTTATTTTAAAAACAACTTATCTCTCTCTCTCTCTCTCTCTCTCTCTCTCGTATACGAATTACTTTAATAATAATAATATTTTTCACATTTTTTATTGATATTTTTTTCATATAAAGCTATTAATATCATTTGATATTAAATATATGTTGAAAATATCTTTCCATTAAGAGCGATGGATCTTTTCGCTTACGAATAATTAAGAACGAAATTAATATGATTTTATAGTTCGGAGGTTCAGAAGCAATTATAACGGCACTCAGCGACGAGTTTCCAATAATCGGCAATAATCGTGAGGTCTTTGTGGCGTGCTTATTCACTTTATACTTTCTGGTTGGGCTCGCTTCTTGTTCACAGGTAGATATTCTAATTGCTAAAATTGATACGATAAATACTAATCCGATTCATTTCTAATCCAATAGAAACTTCCAGACAACAAGTGTAAAAAGCATATATCTTAAAAGAACTTATAATAAGTTTTAATTTTTAAGATTTCTCTTACATGATTTTTTGATATTTCCTGAAGTCTTGAATTATGTATTAAGACCATTTTACATTTTTGGATTGTTATAAATCGTGTTAGATTTATGTAAGACAATATTTAATTCCTAATTCGTGTGCCTCACATTATAAACAGAAGATTATTGCTTTTTAATATAGGGTGGGTTTTACTTTTTCCATTTGTTGGATCGATATGCGGCTGGGTATTCGATGCTGTTCGCCGTTCTGGCAGAAACAATCGCGGTCAGTTGGATCTATGGGACAGACCGATTTTGCGCCGATATCAAAGACATGATCGGATTCAGACCTGGTATCTACTGGCGAGTATGCTGGAAATTTGTAGCACCACTTTTCCTTATGGTACGTCACAATATAGCCGTATTTGAAAATGATATAAGACTGTTCATTAAGTATCAATACCATTTAAAAAAGAACTTACACTTCTAATAATTTTTATTGTTAAACATATTTAAAAAATATGTTTTTTCTATTTTTTTTATATAACGAAGGTAACAATAATAGTTATAATAATTATAATAAATTGAATTATAATATAATATTTATAATTATATAAATTATATATTTATAATTATTGTATATTTATTTAGAACAATCATTCTCGAGTGTCTTCTAATTTTGTTTCAGTTTTTGTTTTATTTTATTTAATTTTTTAATTTTTATGGGAAGGAGTTACTGTACATAACAATCATGTTTCTTGCCCACCCTTATTCTTAAAACTAAACTCTATTTTTAAAACTTATTTGTTGTACTTTATTTTAATAATAAAATATTTTCTCAGTCAAAATTAAATTTTAAAAATCAAATTTGAATTTTCTTGCGTAATGAACGAACACTGAATTAATTTAACATCCTGTTAATAAAAGTCTCATCATATTTATTACATGTATGTTTGTCTTTTATTTGGTTATAGTTTATTATCGTCTACGGTCTAATGGGCTACGAACCATTATCATACGAGGGCTACACTTATCCAGTTTGGGCAAATATATTAGGCTGGCTGATCGCATGCTCTTCTATCATCATGATCCCAGGTATGGCCATCTACAAAATTAGCAGCACATCCGGATCCTTTGTTCAAGTAAGTATTTTATTTAAATTTTATAATATGATTATTATATCTAAATTTTTCTATTTCAAAAAAATTTTTTAAATATACAAAATTAAAATTCTATATATTTATTGTTAGAAAAATATTGTTCGACAGAAAAAGATACTTTGCTTTCTTTGATATAAATATAACTAAAGGACATATTTATACACTTGAGTTTAGTAGATAATTTTACTGAAAAGATAATTAATTACAATTTGATTGATAAATTAATTTTATTGAAGTCTTTAAATTATATTTGTAATATTTGTGTGGCTTTCTGAGAAAAATAACGTGGTATACGCGTCAAATTTCAACACAGAGGTTGAAGATCCTAACGACACCTTGGCGGGACACGCAGCATCAGAGGAACGATCTGTCCTCAGTGGCGAACGGTGCGATTCGTCGAAGTTTCCTAGCCGAGCAAGACTTCGAAATTACCAAGGATCACGAGTTAACTAAGGAACAGACGGAAGTAATGATTCAATCTAGAGAGGGTGTCAAGGGGATCGATCCGCCCCCCGAGCCAGTCTAGGACAGTGCGGTTGTGATTTTGCACGGTGCCCGGTTCCAAGTATACCTCTGCTAGAGCACGATCGCCGAGCAAGGTCCCACAACGACAAGTAACAATCCACCGATCAAACAAAACAAGGATTAGTCTCTTATCAATAGAGCAATATACGACACTCGAACGCATTTGAATCTCGAGGGTACCGGCTTGATTGACGACATGGTCTTCTTCCTTGGATCGCGGTCGAGAATCCGCGATTCAACGTTCGCGCATCGGATTGCACTTTGTTCCTTTAGTCACAAGAATACGGATGATTAAAAAAAACCTAGAGAAGAAAGTGGGTGCCGTCGTGATAACATCGACGTAACGTCGTCAGCCATGCTTTCCCTCGGATGGGTTTAACCGGACTTCTTAACGATAATTCCCTCCCTATCCTGTAAATATAATAACGCGCGTTATTAGAGCACACGACGAATCGCATGAGATTGGTGAAATGCCATGGCGACCAAGCACTTGATGTTCACGCTTCTTCTAACGGACAATGTTTATCACAAACGAACTATTGTCACAAATAAGAGCTACTACGATTCTACCAGATCTTACCTACTTTGGATGACAGCTTTAAACCTAGGAGAATCATTTATGCGCAAAATGTCTAATTTAGCGTAGTCTCGATCTTCGTAATAAATCGATTCGATATTTCCCTGGCAACTAATGAACCGCTTTGAGGTAACTAACTGAGAACCGTTATCTTCAATAAAATTCCTTCTTGCGTAAAAGACTCTCCAAGTTGTTTCGCGATATCGCGTCCGAAACGAACTTTGTTGTTTAACATCGTTTATTTCAATCCGATGCGAGTTATGTTATGCGAGCAATCGTAAAATGTTTACTTCATATAAAGATGTTATAAAACAGAGATTATAATGTTAAGATATCTTGTAGGAGATGATTACGCGATTCCGATTAATTGATTGTGATTGACGATTCTCTTACTGGATCGTTGTTGTCTATAAAATAGAAAAGTGAAAGAGAATTGAGTTAATCACGGTTAATCGGCATCAGTGTTTTAGAAAATGGATTAGATAAATTATATTTCCGTTTGATTAGTCCTCCGGGCTTTCGTAAGCCTGGATGATAAATGCTGTGTGGACTATACGCAAATTATAATCACCGGTAAAACGTTAAGCAATTTATTAGGTCTTATTACCGGTGTGAATACGCTTCATCGATAGCCTGCTCAATCCTGTGTCGAATACCATCGTAGCATGAAATAATACGTTTTTTATATAGATACAATTTTCGATCACTGGGTTCACGCTGTAATCTTCTAGTCATCGATTATTTCCTTATATACATATGTATCTATTAAAGATCCGTGAATGTAAGATACGCGACTTTTTTAATGAAAATTCTCTAGAAAATTGAACCACGAATTTAATTCATCTTAATAATATATTATTTTACGTGTTATAAACGGTTCCACACGACTTGTTTATTCGTCGAATATTACAAGATTTTATCACGGATTTTATCATAGATTTTATATTGAAATCAGATTTTGTTATATTACCAAGTAGACGTACATATATTTATCAATTGTGTAATAAATATCAGTTTATGTATTTTCATATCTTTTTTGTATACACATTGTTAGATATTAGTGATTTTCAGTTTTAAATATCGAACGTAGAAATGTATTGCATTTGATGAGAGTTAAACTATAACGGTTACTTTATACGTGCTTAACTCTCTTTGTGGTTCAAAATAATTCCGATAGACTAGTGTTACATATTTTATTTTTATTTCGATTAATTTTGATTCAACTGTTATCAGTATTATTTGATGTAACCTTTAATTTCCGTTATTAATAGAAATTTTAGAAGCGTTTGTCCTCCGATTATATTACTAATTTACTATTATTCAGTATTTAAAATACGTGAAAGATTATCGTGCTAAATGATTTTTTTAATAAGAGCTTCTATTTGTAGAAAAGATTAACCCTTTGCGGTCCATAAACCATTTCTCGCTAAAATTAAATATTTTCAATTTTATTTTTAATCACTCTAATATGAATTAAAGATCTTTATATTTACTTAGAAGAATTTATAGAGACCTCAAAAATATGGATTTCCGATTATAATAGTACTTGAACAATTATATAATAGATCCGTATTAGATTAAGTTCAACTCGATATAGGATCGCAAAGGATTAAATGTGTGCCATGAATATGGGTCGATTCGCGGATAAACGCGTCGTGTGGACCTCATAGTGCAGCATCAACGACACGAGAATCAGTCGCAATTTCCAGTAGTTTAAAATCATAATACTTAACGAGTATTCAAATTCTAACTAACGTGTGCCGGTTCTCTATTTGTCTATCTACTTCCACTTATACATTATCGTGCGGTAACGGGGACGATAAATCGTTTCCTAATTCTCATAATATCGCACAGCACGTGATTTCTCCTTCGATACAACACCTTCATTGCGATAGGATCGTTCGTCATTTATCTAGTATTAGTCAAAACCAGTAGAATTGATCAATATAGTATAGGTATCTGACGGATGTTCTTATAGATACGTAAATTCAGAGATAAGCATTTGCAAATAACTTTATGAGAAAGACTGTTTTTTTTTTAAATTGCTTCAACATTTGAATTAATTTAAATATTTTAAATAATTAAAAAAGATTGTATATTGGAAAAAGAGTCTGGTTGCATTAATTAGAATTCTAAAAAATGTTAATTCTTGAAAATGGACAAGAATTTTCTGGTTGAATATATTATAATTTTAGTTGAGATAATCGGAATTCTAATTGATATGATTAGAATTTTGTTTATTTGTTTGTTTTTAACTAGAAAATTTTTTCAATCATATCCTTTCTTTTCATGATATTTATATTTTAATCTTTTGGTAACTTTTATACGTTATGATGGTTTTCTTTTAAATCTTTTGTGACAAACACTACTATACTTACTTTTTTCTATGTCTCGATACTTTGCCACTACTTAGCAGAAACATTCTAATTTGTTTTGATTTGTATTCGTTTCATCGAAAAAATTTGTGCGCTTTTTAGTAAAATTTCGCAGCTAAGCTGTGCAGTACAGCTTCGCGTCCAGCTCATCTGTAGCCAAAAGATTAATCATACATTCGCGATTTCTCCCAGTTTACTATTTACTGAACTAATTTGATTTAGTAAACTAATTTTAGCAAATTATATAGTTCATTAATTTTTCCTAGTTTACCAAATTTTTTTCTAAGTTTATTGTCAAATTAGCGCATCGATCAAATTAGTTTGCATGATTTATCGATTTGTTTCTTGATAAAAAACATTTTTTTTGTATAACAACGAATCCTAACAGGCACAAAACAGTAGTACAAATTTGCGTATCCTATGAATATCCAAGGATACCTGCGTCGTAAATTCGCGTATCCCCGCTGCGCTACGACTTCGTTTCGTCGGGAGACGAAGAAGTCATCGGAATCTGGCGGAAGATTTCGATATATCATACTTGTAGGTACAATAATTGACGTGTATCGCATTGTAGCCCTGTGAACTGGCCAATGAAAAATGGCCGGGCATAGAAATTAAGCATCTCGAAATCGTCGTGATAGAAAATCGTTAGAATCGCGAGGCGATCGCCGCGACCTGCGTTTTCCATCCCTCATCTCTTATCTTCATCCCTGGCACGCAGGGTCGCGTCGTCGCACGCGCGACACATACATATATATACATATATAGTTTATTTAGCGATCGTTGTTTAGATACAGAGATGTATATGTATCTATAAACTCAAATGTGTATGTATATACATATTTAAAAGTATACATATATATATATATATATTTTATACACATCGCATCCGAGTTGCCACCGCAGCCATAGGTAGCAGCTCGGGCCTTGTTAACTCGATTGAACGATTTAAATGACTTTGTCTTCGAGACGAAGAAACTAGCAAGCTTGCGAAAGAAGAAAAAAAAATCGTCGGTTATAACCCTGTCGACTATAAACCTTTTTTTCCCTATACCATCCCCTCAAGTCAGAGCGATCATGCTCGCCCAAGAGCCATATTGGCCGGGCATTCGCCGAGGCTTGTAACCGCACACAGGAAAAGTTTTGCACCGCTTTGGATTACGGCATTACATCGCACCGTATTTTCTAACGTTATTATACGCTTCTCTAATTAGTGCACCGATGATTGTCAATTGACACTGTATTAACCGCTGTATTAACATCATTGTTATTTTCAATAGTTTTGTTGTTACTTGTAAGTAATAAATGTGAGATTTTTTTTCCTTTAGATTTATTATGTGAACGAGATGCAGTCATTATATTGTCGATATACCGCATTAACAACGCGGTGCCGAGATAATAGTGACTCCATTTATTCACAAAAACAATAGCCATGACTGAATCTTTAGGGCATTATTCAGTAAAATAAGAAGTACGTTAGTCATTGTGTTTATAGACCTATGTTTGTTTACGGAGAGATGAAGATTTTCGCCAGTAATGACGAAACGATATATGGAAGAAGTGGAGAGAGAAAGAAGTGATTAGTTCGAAAGAGGAAGTCTCGACGTCCCGACGAAGTCTCACCTAGTGATGTGTATGTCTTCTTTGCAGAATACTTCTACTCGACTGTAGGTTGTCGGAAAAAAAATCACGCATTGTTTCGAAAACCGAGCGATGCAAAACTGATCTTGAATACGTGCGCTCCGTTTTCCGCTACGTGTCACATCCTGTCGAAGACTGTTACAGCCGCGGCTTTGGAGTACGATCCCGATTAGCGTTGATCCGCAGCGCGACGTAGCGTTACGCATGTAAGGATGATTTTGTCGAATAAAATTTTGTTCTCTAAAGGAACAGCTTAGGTCATTTATACCATCATGGTTCCCTGCGAGAAATAAACTACAATAAAGAAACATTTCGTATTTGTATTGGAAACGGTCCATTTCGACGGAGTTTCTGTTAATATTTTGTATTGAATTTTTTAACATATTTGAGTGTTAATTTAACATAATGTAATGTGTTAAATTGTTATGTTAAATTGATATTTAACATTTCTTAGTTTCAAAATAACACAATTTATGTGTAAGTGAACAAATAAACATAATGTGTTTTAAAATGTAAATTATAAGATGAATGAATAAAATATGTATTAATATATTCATTTAACATATCATAAATGTTAATTTTATTGAAAAAGTTTATGTTAAAAAATATGCTAGTTTGTTTATGAACTGTGTTAATATTATCTTTCCTGTGTTTATCTTCTTAAATGATATTTGCGTTATCTCCTAGCATATTTACCTTGTGTTAAATTTACATATAGAGTGAAATGTTAGGGAAATGTAATATGTGTCAAATTTAATATAAATTTTCTAACAATGTTCGAAAAATATGTTAATACAATATGTTGCTACGATAGATTTATTGAACATTTTATTTTTAAACTAAAAGAAAGTTTTAACACATTGAATAGAATTTACATTAAATAAAGTTAGCGAACACCAAATGTAAAAAAAAAACAGAAAAAAATTGTCTTTAAAATATATCTTTAATTTAAAAATAATAATTTTTTAAGCAATTCTTTAGATAAAAAACCTTCTTTAGAGAAAATTTGTAAATTGTAAATTAAACTTATATTTCAAAGATTATTCATAGCTAGCGAAAACTGGATTTAAGGTAATTCGAAGGAAGATGCCATAAGGAAAACGTCACTTTATTTATAGTTTTTTCATAAAACGCGCGTTGACCATACTGACTGTGGCAAACAGTTGCACAGTTATCGGCTTAGATGAACATGTTCATGCCAATGTCGATTGGAAAAGATTATACAAAACGAAAAGGTAGGTCGTAAAACATGCTCTTTGTAATATTTGGTATACGGTAACGTTAAATTAATAAATTTGTGTAAATAAAGAAAGGTCTCTAGAATAATATTAATAATATTTTTTCGTAACTTCATTCAATAACATTAAGAAATTATTCAAGAATAAAGGCTTAATAGTGTGGCGTCTTCCCCCAATTACCTTATATTAATTTCTTAGATAAAAGTAAAAAATTAATCTATATATTAAATTTATTTGTATAAAATCATTCGTAGCTTGAAAAAACTGAATTTTCATTACTTCTTTTTAAACTTTTTACTTTTTGTGGTGCAAGCTACACAACGATTCTTCATTTCACTCGTATTTCTTATCATGTCTTCGTTCGTCACAATAAACGCGTTTCCGCCGAAAAGCGTGACGAATGAACACTTTAAACCGCCTACGCCAGATTTACTCAATTCTCACTGAAGAGGCAGAAAGAGCCGCTATATGGAGTAATCGCGGGATTTGTCACGCCGCGTATTAAGCGTAATTGAAATTATCTCGTAACCAAAAATTGTCGTTAATTAACAAACCGCTGTTGGCATTAGTTTTTTTATTTATTTTTGTTGAGTCACAGTGGCAGATTGTGTTTACAGGGCACAGAAAGAGAACACACACAATTGTAGTAGTATCTTATTTTCTTCCTTCTAAATCTTTCGTTAAATCTTCTAATTTAAAAAGCAAATTTAAACTTAGTCAATACGCGTGACAGTTTAACGGCTAATAATCGACTTGTAAAGTCGACATTTAGTCAACTATTTCATATATAAGATAGCTTTTTATCGATTTTGAATGTTAACTGTAAGTCGATTTGAGGTTGACTATTTTTGAAAATCTAAATGCCGCCTTTTTATGTCTCACATAAAGTCTAAAATTAGAAACATTTTTAAAACAACATTTAAAGATCTTTAAGATATAATTTTACATAGAGTTCTATTATTTTACATAGATTCTTCTCCGTCGTCTTCATGGATTAAAAGAAAGAAAAGGTAATACAGGGAAGACAAAAGAATTTAAAACCTAGTTCTTCTAACAAACAAAAGTCTGACTAACCAATTCATGTACCTGTGATTAGTGAGCTTGAATCGGATATTTTCATTTATAACATCAAATGTATAGATTTAATCTTGGATAGATAAATATTTTACAGTCAAGTCTATCTAAATTTAGACAAAAAGAAGAATTCTATTATTTATTGGTACCTTTTAAAACTATCCTTTCAATTTTAATTGCTAATAATTAATAAATAAATCGATGCTTCGAATTTTAACCCTCGGACAGCGGACGTCGTGATACTCGCACGCACAGCAGACGCAGGGTCAAAAGTGACCCAAGAATGGAATTGTTTTGAAAACGTTTGAAAAAAAAATAGTTTTTTTTATTATAATATATATAAAATATGTAGAAAGAGAAATAAAAACACATATTTATCATAGAAACAAATATTCATTTATTCATTTTTTTCACAGTTGAAAAGAGTTGAAAAGAGTAAACAACTCTAAAGGCCCGTCTACAATACAGTAGTAAGCTTGGTTTAAGAAGTAAAAGTAAGAAATTGACCAATCACAGTCGAATGTGAGAAGAATAATCGATTGTGATTGATCAATTTCTTGCTCTTACTTTTTAAACCAAGCTTACTACGTGTATTTTAGACGGGCCTTAACTCGCGGGTCTCGCGAGACCCTGCGTCCGCTGTCCGAGGGTTAAATAATAATTATAGTTTATTTTAAATATATTATATACATATGTATAAATTATTTGTAAAAAGAATTATTAAATTATTATATAATTATTTGTAACTACTATTATCATTTTAGACTAATACCAAAATCAATTTTTAAAAACCTACTAAATAGAAATGTTCTAATTTTTTTTAGTATTTTATTCGAGTATTCCTTATTTCTTTGCGCATGTGCAAATAACCTCAGTCGCAATAACCATCGTATACTGTGGCCAATTTCGTAGCTGTTCTACAGTTGCTAAAAGAGATTCGAATTGTTTATTTGAATATAATTCCTTATCAAAACGATAATTTTTATTAAAATTTATTTGAATAACGTTTTTAAAATCATAGAACTACGTTAAATTTGATAAAAGAGTGTTTGTTAAAAAAAATTCCACAATCTCTCGAAGATATTTCCGGATTGATCGATAAATATTCCAACAGGCTCTCTGCTTCTGCTTTGCGTCACTCTACGAGCAGTGCGAGCGACACTGGACACACAACAATATGGCGCCTGCTACGGAGGATCTCTTGGACGTTCAGAAGAAGATTTTCGAGAGAATCAGCAAGAATGAAGTGTGCGAGCTCAAGACATTGTTGGCACAGAGGAAGATCAAAATGGATTTTGTCGATGAGAATGGTATGAGTCCTCTCCAACATGCCTGTTATAAGGGAAACAAGGAAATCGTGCAACTACTCCTCGATCAAGTAGGTTATGTTGACTGTATCAGTAATATTATGTGTCAACAGAGTTACGTCTCGTGATTAGCTTGCTATAAATTTAAATATATTGTCTAAATGACGTTCACATGATCTTCTCATGATGGATTTATATTTCTATTTCTGAAATTATTAATATTTTAATCATATGTTTATTGAATGCTTATTTCTACCTATATGGATTAACTTTTACCTCGATTTAATTTACTCTTCATATTTTTTTATTCCTAAGAATAAACAAATGATAAAGAGTAAATTGAAGAGTAAGATTAAAGTTAATCTACATTGATGGCAATAGACATAAGACACAATTAACTTGTAATATATGAGGATTGTTTACTCGTTCTAGGGTGCTGATGTAAACGCGTGTCAACACGAACATGCATATACTGCTCTTCATTTCGCTGCTTTAAGTGGAAATGCTGAACTATGTCATCTCTTAATGTCGCATGGAGCACGCTTGACAGCAACAAACAGTGTAGGCAGAACAGCTGCGCAAATGGCAGCATTTGTGGGAAATCACAACTGCGTGGCGACTATTAATAACTTTATTCCAAAAGCTGATATAGATTACTACATTAAGCCGCAGGGTTTGCAGACTGAACCCATGCTACCACCACATCTAGCAGATTATTTCCATAAATTCATAATGCACGTTAATGTGAATCCTGTACGTGTGTGCATGAATTTACAGAGACTTCCTGCACTTCTAGAAAATGCAGCAAAAGTAAGATAATGTATAGAACAAATTGATAATTGAATACAATTAATATAGTATTTATTTGATACATCACAATCTATCAAATACACTTTGATATATCAAAATACCAAGATACATTTGATATATCAAAATATATTTTTCTTAGTTTTATGTGAAGGAACAAATGTATTTATATTCAATATTTACTTATTTTGTCATCTTTTTTTTTAGATACAAAAAGTATTAGAATCCATGCGTTATAAAGAAATGACTCGAGGTGCTGAAATAAATGAAGTAATGGCCTTCAAATACCATTATCTCAGTTGCGTTGTTGCCGAAGTGTTAAAATGTCAAAAACGCCAAGAAGCTATGAAAGCAGAGAAAGGCGAAAAGGGGAACGAGGAGAGTGAAGAAAAGAAGTCCGATACTGTAGAACTTCTGATACGAAGATTCTTGAAATGCAGCAAGAACGACAGCTTACCAGAGTATCAGGAAGCATTTTTAAGAGAATCTGTAAGAGAATTTCCATTCAGAGAAAGCACAATTTTCCGTCAGATGGTCGCTACATTGGCGAGCACAGATCCACCGTCCGCCGTTTCTGTAATCTCAGCTGCAATTAACGGGCAACGAGGATTCTTTGATGGCGCCCAGACTTGCGTGACTTGTGGCGAAGACAAGGCTACCAAGAAATGTAGCAAATGCAAAGCGGTGCAATACTGCGACAGAGAATGTCAGAGATTGCACTGGTTCATGCACAAAAAAGCGTGTGCTAGATTGGGTCAATCCCCGGCAAACAATGGAAAGCTTACGGATGTAGATAAAGAACAAATCAGCAACGCTGTCGGCTCCAGGCTACAGAACCTAGCTGTTAAATAAATATGTAATGTGTACAAATTTAATGTTAGCATTCCATTTGGAATGCATTATACTCGCGGATGTTTATTTTTTCCTGTATATAGCTATTCTATGTAGAATTGATGGATCTCCGTATGATTGTGCCTATCACATCTGTGGAAGCTAACATTATTATTGTGTAAGTAAAAATCATTTTAAAAATGTGTAAATTTTCGTTTAATTCATCACGCGTTTATATCGATATCTCATTCGATTTTTCAATCCTTGACAATCAGTTAAGAAATCCAGAGAGGAATTAAACTGAATCAAATTATATAATAAGTTGTTAACTGAATCAAATTATAATATATATTAAGTTTTTGTTATATAAAAATTGTGTTTTTGTAATTCTTATATGCGACTACGAGCTGCCGGACTTTTGTAAACTGACTGATTTTTATATAGTTTCCTACTTCCTCATACTTGGACAGTAAAATTGCCAAATATATTTATAAGTTACTATTATTCTTGACGTACGCGCGTGCACTCAGTTAAACATATCTGTCAATATTTTAGAGCTGTGTTTTTCCAAGAACCTTTATTGTGATCTATCTGTCAAAATAAAGCACATTTACTTGCAACTGATATGATAGTTCTATTATCCTCTAGTATATTATCGCTAATTTATTGATAAGTACTGTATGACCATCTATATTAATTAATAAATTCTATTTATCCATAATGTTGTTTTTATCAATAAAATTATTAATAAAATTCAATCTGAAGTACTGAAACAAATTACATTTATTGAGATTAGTCGTTTTAATTACATTCAAAAATATTTGTTATTGCATGAATTTTATTCTGTATCAAGCATCTCGTACACATATTACGATAACACTTTACCGATATACGAAAACCGATATACTTTGAATTTACCGAATAGAAAATTACGTTCACATCCCGACTTTCATCATCACGTTAAGTTCTTGTTAATCGTAAAGGACCGTACGCGCAACTATTCCTTCAGAAGCAATTTCTTAATGCAAACATGAACTACGTCTTTCACGCCCAACTTTAACGATTCTTTGCTAATTTGTTCCAAGATTCAAATTCAATTGGCGGGACTTTCTCCTCGGGCTAAATCACACGGACATCTATGAGGCTTCAAAACTTTCACCTCAAACAGCGGATCTGGTCGTTGAGTTTCGCGTTGCGCAAACATTACAGCAATAATTTTCGGCAATCCACACATATGTCATCCGTATCCGTAATAACACGACCGCCTACTTCATAACTCCTGTTTTCTGCGCATGAAAAAGATAATGACATATACTAGTATAATATTTTTTTAAATAATACATCAAGGTTTATTATGTGGCTGCTATGTTTCCCCTAACAAATTTAATAACAATGATATAATTTTATTGGATATAGCACATATGAAATAAATGAATCTATAATATATTTATACATAAAATATAATGCAAAAATTCGAAATTAAAATTTTTTTTTAAAGGGAAACCTTTATAACATTATTATTTTCTATCATATATCAATGCTAAATCAATGTTAAATATTTTGGTGATGTAAAACTCCAGATATATTAAAGTCTTTCTCTTTTGAAATATATTATTTTAAATGAAAATAAAAATAAAGTTAGGAAAGAGAGAATAAAGTTTTTCTACCTATGCAATCCTGATGGTTTATTGACAGACCTTTTGTTTTCAATCGCTTTTATTTCAAGAAATTTTGATAGTTTATACAGTTTCGCTTTAAAAAAAAAATAAGACACTCGAAGAACAACATCTGCGAATTTTTATTCATTATCCCGTGAAAAATTTTTTATATTAGATATTATTTATATTTTTTGTATAAATACTCTATCTCTTTTATAACTAATTTATAGAATGGGAAAAATAATTTTTGCTGCAAGAAATTAAGAGAATTCTTCGATTTAATACAATACGCGTGCTAAACTATTTGATTCGACTTAATAAATAACTTTCACTTTTCATGGAATTACATGACAACGTAAATCTTGATACAGTACAGTTATTGAACAAAACGAGAAAGTATGTTCTCTTTTTCTCTGTAAGTAATATGTACTAATTTTGAAAGTGGTTTCAATGACGCACTTATGTACCTGTACGAGTATGTAGACCATTTTAGAATGGGTCTGCCATTGGAATCAGAAATATCGATTATCTTAGCAGTGAATATTAGAATATAGTTAAAATTAACACTTTTTTTGTACAAAAATTAATTTTAACATTTTTGCTGCATGTCTCAGAAAGTCCACTATATGTTTTTTAAGTTAAAATTAGCATTTTATTTTTAACAGTGTGAAGTCAATCCCTCCTGATTGAAAATTATTATTTAAGATTAGGAGATCATTATTTGTCAAGAGATCATTTTTTAAATGGACGTTCAACTTTGTTGACGATAATCATATTTTAACAATTGAACCTAAAGCGCTGTATAAGTTCTATGCTTCAAAAAGAAACATGCGCGCGCGCGCAGCGTTTAAGTGTAAATGGTTCTAAAAAAAACATCGCATATATATGCAAAGCAGTCATTTCTATGAGGCCTCAAACGGACATGAAATAATACCGTTGTCACTTACCGTTGTGCACTTGATGTATCGAATTAACTTCGTAGCGGGGGAAACGTGACATGTGTTGAAATATACTTTTCGTCGATATCAACAGCGGAGGCTCTCATCTTCGGCACTTCCGCCATACAGTGTTACTCAATCAATTCGCTTCAGCTGTCGCGAACGAGCTGTGTAATTTAGAATTTTATATAATAAATTACATACGTACATATCTGTCTTACTCCATTTCGTTCTCATTGCGTCACTGTGACAAATGATTGAAGTACAGTAGATATTTATTATGTTACACGCTTATTTTATGCATTTGACCGACCTATTTGTGGAAAATATTCAATATTACGCATATTTACTTTACATTATTAATGTTACGAACTTCAAAGTTCAAGTAGCTATAACTTCATCAAAAATAAATAAAATTTAAATTTAAAAAATGGGTGTTAAAGCTTAAAATTTCTACTTTCGAAAAATTGTTAAGTCTCGATACATTGAAAAATGAGATCTAAATGATTCTCTATGACAATTCTGTAATGCACACTCGACATTTTTCTTCACGTCCTTTTAAATATGGATACGCGTGGACCTCGCAGGACATGCTCAGAATCAAAGAATAAAGGCGTATATGTAAATACGTTCTGCTTTCGAGCGAAAAGAAACATGCTCGAAAACAGGATATTCGAGATGCATTCGGATTTAACTTTTCGAAGACTTTCACTCAATGCTAAAGCTTTGCACATCGACATTATAATTATTACAAATCGTTTCATTAATTATGCAAAGTACAATTTAGATTTTCCTGTCGAATAATAAGATATGGAATTCGTCCCGCTCACATTTTTGGACTAATTTGTTGCAAACTTATATAATAATCGTGTGCATTTTATGCGTAAAAAAGTTATTCTTTTTCACAATGATAAAGGTCTGTAATGTAAAGCTCATTGAACAATGTAAATTGATGTGTCAATTATTAAATCATATCATTTATCGAAATTTGCTGCAATAATTTATTATTTCTCTTTTTTCTTCTGACGAAATCTCTCTCTCTCTCTCCCCCTCTCCCTTCCCCCCTCTCTCTCTCTCTATTGTACTATTATACATCAATTGATCTTATTTCAGGGTCAAGTTTCAGGGAAATATTTCAGGGTCAAGTTAACAAGGTTGATCTGATTTTTTAACCTACTTTCCATAGATGTAAATAAACTTATGCAAATATTTTCTCTTTTTTTACAAAAAAAAGATATCCGAAAATCAATGTAGAGCACATTACATCATACGATATAATAAAATGTATTATGTATACGTGTTCTTTATAATATATGTAATTTTATATAATATATGTAATTGTATTTTCTACATGTAATTTTTATGTTTCGCGTTTCTTAAACTACTAAAACAAATCTTACATTTGCTCATTAGAAAAACTTCTATGATTGAATTTAAATAGAATAGAAAATTTTATATATAAGTATATATAAACGATTTTTTTATATGTACATATATATGTATATATTTTTCACGTATGCACTTTTACGATTGACGAGACGTTTATCATGGTAATGAAAGTCGCAACGTAAACATATAATAATTTTTCGTTATTGGTAGATGCAAAATTATATTCGTAATATAAAGTATATACATGTAATATACGTGTTATATTATATGTATCTATAAGCGCTTCATAATAAAAACAATACATAAAAGAATTTATGTACACTGTAAAAAGTAATATGTTTTATTCTTGTCCCTATGTTTTTAAACGCTTAAAGATGTTTCAGTTTTAAACTTTTTTAATACACAAAACACTACGAGCGCGCGCGTATTTGGATTGAAAACACCTTGCGTTTTAAATCCAAACACGTAGTGTTTTGTCTATTGAAAAAGTTTAAAACTAAAACATCCGTAAGTGTTTAAAAAATGGAAACAAGAATAAAACATTTTAATATCTTAAAATTAAACACTTCTCTTTTCAGTGTACGTATGCAAGATTCTTGAATCTGTTTAAAATTCAACCATTTTTTTAACGACCTAATACGCCAAAGTCCTAATTTCTTAAAAAACGTAAAACACACTACACATTTAAACAAATATATATATTTGTTATATATATTTAATATTTAAAGATATATATATTTAATATTTTTGATGTGGACATATCCGTTAAACGCAAATCTACACTGTAAAAAGAAATGTGTTTTATTCTTGTCCCTATTTTTTAAACACTTAAAGATGTTTTAGTTTTAAATTTTTTCAATAGACAAAACACTACGTGTTTGGATTTAAAACGCATAGTGTTCAATCTGTTTAAAATTGAAAAAGTTTAAAACTAATACTAAAACATCTTTAAGTGTTTAAAAAATGGAGTAAAGAATAAAACATTTTAATATCTTAAAATTAAACACTTCTTTTTTCAATGTACATAAATATTTATAAATCTTCCTAATATATTCTTATAACGATTGCTCTTATTTATGTGCACGAAAATTGGTCAACAGGATGATTTCTAGTCATCAAAATCGGGGTTAAAAATTCGGAGACTTTTTCTTGCACGAATACGCGTTTTCTAGCGAAAAGATTGTCTTCCTTTAATAACAGAGAATGTTCATTTAAAAAATCGAGAAGAGATTATATATATATATATATATATCTGATACTCCCTTTATTTTATAATGTTCTTAGTCATCCAGTAAGTGCGAATTACTCAAGTATAGGTGGGGAAGGTAAGATTCTCGAGGAAGGGAGACCAAGGA